ACCGACCGATCGCACTTGACCTCACTCCCAAGGCCACCAGGAACAGTGGTTGTCTACACAGTAATAGGAATCGTGGCCAACCGAAACCAGCACCACAAATCCCATTGCAATTTAAAAGGGTATGTTGACCAAGTAATCAATATTCAATGTGACTTAATAATAATCTTAACAATGTCAAGCTTATTAATAGCCGCGTTTCCATTACCTTTCAAAATGTTCGCGGGCGCGAACACTTAGGCTACATTTTCCTATCAACAGTGGAAACAACTTAAACTAGTCTATCATTTCTGGTCATACAGAAAATAATAATGCATTATTCGCAACTACTTTTATTTGTGTAAACTCATAACAAGAAAACGTGCTTTTGTAAAATAAAATAAAACAATCAGTAGCCTAGGCTACTACGCGCTTTCATGATCTCCGTGAACTGGAGTGCGAGAACTGAAACAAAATATAGCCTATGTAGGCTAAAGCTTAAAATGTGCACTTTTAAACAAACAAACTCGAATCGAAAGCAAATACCTGATTATGTAATCCGTATGAAAGGTGGATTTCTCTCTAAAAGCGCATCTGCTTAGCCGACACTTAGAAAACAATAGTTTATTAATAAACAATTAAAATGCCTCGCTGTTTTTTCAGACGCATTTATTATCATTAGCCTATAACTCACCTATAAATCAGGCTAGATCAGACACGTACGGCTCTTCTCATTCATCACTGCGGGAAAAATATAAATTCCAGGTTCTAATTTGGCCTTAGAAAACCAGTAAAATCGACATGTTTTCCATATTAATTTGTGAATATTTAAAATGTTTAATAAAGGAGCAAAAAGTCATTTAAACAAAAATCTGAAAAAGTCTGTCGATATTTACTTTTTTTGCGCAGCAGTTGGTGAAGCCAGTTCAAATTAAAATTTTGTTCAACTTTGCGTTTTAAAAAGACAACAACCGTTCATTTTTCGTTTTTCAGTTACGGGTTAAAAAAGATAGATAATAATATGCAAATCTGCAATAATGGAAACGCGACTGACAAGCAATGATAGAAATGAATGATGATGATGACTTGTTTGGTAAGCTTCTATTTTAAAAGTTTCTTTCTCTCCCCCCCCGAAATTTTCACAAGTTTTGCCAGGTTTAGCCTCAGTTATGAATTAAAATGTGTTTATTGCAACTAATGTAAACTGTAGAGATGCAACCTGGTCATTAAAATAATTTCAAATGTGATTTTCTTTTCAGTTTTTTTTTCTTCGTTTTCTCCCCCGCCACTTTGGCGGCCCTCAGTTCAATGTTGGGTTCCTAAATTGGCCCTCACCTATCAAAACTTTGAGAACCCCTGCTATAGATCATAAAATACTCTTGGATCGACTACAAAACTACACTGGTGTTCAGGGACAGTATTAAGCTGTCCAGTATATACAGTATATGTGAATACAGTATATGTGAATATTCACAGTATATGTGAATACAGCTTAACCAGTATTAAGCTGGTTCAGATCGTACTTATCAGACCATTTTGTCTGTTTAAATGGGGAAAAATCGAAGATAACGTCAGTAGACTATGGAGTGCCGCAAGGATCGGTGTTAGGCCCTCTGCTATTCTCAATATATATGCTGCCACTTGGTAATATTATAAGAAAACATGGAATTAATTTCCACTGCTATGCTGATGACACTCAATTATATATTTCATCACGACCAGATGAAAACAATAACTTATCTAAATTGACAGAGTGTCTTAAAGATATAAAATGCTGGATGACGTGTAATTTCCTGCTATTAAATCCAGATAAAACGGAGGTATTACTTATTGGTCCAAAAAACTACCCACAAAATCTCTTACAATACAACTTTAATTTAGAAGGATGTCCTGTTACCTTATCCACTACAGTAAAAGACCTGGGAGTTATACTAGACCGCAACTTGTCTTTCGAAAATCATATTTCATATGTTACAAGAACTGCCTTTTTCCACCTTAGAAACATTGCTAAATTACGTAACATGCTATCTGTTTCTGATGCAGAAAAGTTAGTTCATGCATTCATGACCTCGAGACTAGATTACTGTAATGCTTTACTAGCCGGTTGTCCTGCATCTTCAATAAACAAGCTACAGTTAGTGCAAAATGCAGCTGCTAGAGTTCTTACTAGATCAAGAAAATATGATCATATAACACCAATTTGATCATCTCTACACTGGTTACCTATTAAGTTCCGTATCAATTACAAAGTACTACTAATGACCTATAAAGCCCTAAATGGTTTAGCTCCTGTGTATTTAATGGACCTTCTTTCGCCCTACAATCCATCGCGTTCTTTAAGATCACTAAATTCATGGCTTCTGGTCATTCCTAGGATATCTAAGTCCACTAAAGGAGGGAGGGCGTTCTCACATTTAGCTCCTAAACTCTGGAATAGCCTTCCTGATACTGTTCGAGGCTCAGACTCGCTCTCCCAGTTCAAAGGTCTAGGACCAACCCTCTTCACCATTTACATGCTCCCCTTGGGTCGTGACATCAGCAGGCATGGAGTTAATTTCCATTGCTATGCTGATGACACACAACTCTACCTTCAAGTTACTCCCTCTAGCTCCCCCTCTGCCATGGCTGCACGCCTTAGCTCATGCCTGGAGGAGATAGAGGCGTGGATGAGTCAAAACCTTCTGCAGCTAAATGGCTCCAAAACAGAGGCCATTGAAACTGGTACCGTTCATCAACTCCGCTCCTCTCCAATCACCACTGTTTCATTTTTTGGACACACCACTCCCCTCTCTTCCTCTGTTATTAACCTAGGGGTAAAATTTGACCCCCACCTTTCATTTGACAGTCATGTCACCACCATCTGTAAAACTGCATTCTTTCACCTACGCAATATTTCCAAACTGCGCCCCTCCCTCTCCCTTTCTGCTGCAGAGAAGCTCGTCCATGCTTTTGTGTCCTCCAGGCTGGACTATTGTAATGCACTCCTCATCGGGATTCCTGGCAGGAGCCCTCAAAAGCTCCAGTATATTCAGAACAGCGCTGCCAGGGTCCTGATGGGGGTGCGAAAACATGAGCACATCACCCCCATCCTCCGTTCACTGCACTGGTTACCCATTCAGTCCCGCATAAAATATAAGGTCCTCCTTTAGACCCATCACTGTCTGCACGGTGTGGCCCCCACTTATCTCACTGAGTTGCTCACACCAAATTCATCAACCAGAACCCGGTCAGGCCAACAGCACCGTTTGGTCATGCCCAGGACACGGCTCAAAACAATGGGCGACAGGGCCTTTCAAGTCGCTTCTCCCTGCCTGTGGAATGCTCTCCCAGACCACCTTAGGGCCCCGCAAACAGTAGACACATTCAAAAAAGGACTAAAAACCCATCTTTTTACACAGGCTTATATTAATAACTAACGCTTGTTTTTAGTCCCGCCGTTTAACATGTTGTGTTTTTATTGTATATTGTATTGTTTATTTTTATTTATTTTATTATGTTTTATTGTAGCACTTTGAGATTTGGTGTAAAGTGCTTTACAAATAAAATTTATTATTATAATTATTATTATTAAAACAAGATTAAAGACGCATCTCTTCAGCCAAGCATTCACATAATGCTTACCTTTTATACTACAGATGAATCAGATCGAATGCATTAATATTATGAACAGCAGCTATGCTAATTATTTCCCATCTGCTTTTCTGCTGTTATCTCGGGACGCCAGTCCCGAGGTAAATAGCGTTCGTCAGTTCCAGTTTGTATCCAGCCTCTCATGGAGACTTCAGATGCCCCAACACCTGCGATGAGACGACTCAACGCCTGTGATGAGACGACTAAACGCCTGTGATGAGACGACTCGACGCCTGTGAAGAGACGACTCAACGCCGGCGATATGTTATGCCCAAAATTAATACATGATGATTAACTAACTGTATTTTTCTATGTACATTTCTGAAATGCACTTTCTGTAAAACTGCTTTGAAACAATATGTATTGTGAAAAGCGCTATACAAATAAATTTGAATTGAATTGAATTGAACCTAAGGGCAGATCCTTTGAGCGCTGCTGATGACGCTGTGAAGTGACGCTCGAGTGATCAAGTATTCCAATGTATAAAAAAGCTTGGTTTCACTTTATTTTGATGGTCCCTTTAACACATTCTGTTGACTATAAGTAACGTTGCACCTGCATGTCTACTAACTCTCATTCGAGTGTTAGTAGAGTATTAGTCGACTGGTAGGATTAGGGTTAGAATAAGTTGACATGTAGTTGCAAAGTTACTTATAGTCAGTAGAATGTATGTTGGAGGATCATCACAATAAAGAGTTATCCGATATTACGCAGACAGTCTATTAATACTGTAATGACAGTTAGTTGACATATAATTGCAAAGTTACTTATAGTCAACAGAATGTTCAAAAGGGACCATCAAAATAAAGTGTTACCAAAAGCTTTCATTCAATTCCTCCATCCTCATTTTTTTTCCTTGCAGCCTTTCCTCGCGTCCTACAGGGGGTGGAGCTGAGACGCGAGGAAAGGAAGTGAGGAAAGGAAACGAGGATGCACAAATAAGAAATGAGAAGCACCCTAAGAAACGGCCAATGTGTGTTGTCTACTTCTGCAGCTGGGCATATTTGGAGATTCTGCGTGAGAGCGCCCTTTGGCTTTCAGATGGAGCAGCATTTACTACTGATCACAGAGCCGTACGCCACTGAAAAAGCTGCCCATAAAATAATCACAGCCTTTGCCATTTCGATTAATTGTGCAGCCCCATGAAACAGTTTCAACTCAAATAAATATTTCATGTCCACAAAATGATTACTTTAGCGAAAAGCCGTGTAATAAGTGTTATGAATCTATATAAATATTAATAATAAAAATTCTTAAAACTTTGGAAACAATCTAATGAAGATTAAACAACAAAATTGTCTATCAGACCATTTTTAGTCTCGTTTTTGTTTCTTTAGTTCATTATTAACCATATGAATAAAATGGAGGAGGATGACAAATTTATACAATCTTACCACAGTATCTCCAGTTTACAGTGAGCCTTCAGTCCATCAGAGAGCAGCTTCACTCCTCTGTCTCCTAGTTTATTTCCATTCAGATACAGATCTCTCAGGTCTGAGGGGTTTGATCTCAGAGCTGAAGCCAGAGCAACACAACCTTTATCTGTAACACCACAATCACTCAACCTGTAGAGATTAAAGATACATGGGGAACTGATACCTGCTGCAAACATAGAATAAAAAGTGTAAACTACAAATATGATTTCTAGAGGCAGTAAAACATTCACATAAACATCATTAGAGGACAAACAGCATCAACATATAGAAAAAGACACTGTTAACCCTCTGGGGTCTAAGGTGTTTTTGGGGTCCTTGAGATGTTTTGACATGCACTGACATTTGTGCTTTTTTCAGTTGCTTATAAACATATTAATGGCAAAGGTTTAATTACACTCTATTTAGCACAAACAGGGAAACCATAATATGTGAGCGTATTTTTGAGAGAATATTGTTTATGCATGGTTATTGAAAAAACTAAAACTTAAAGTTTCTGAAATAAGGCCACAAAACACATACTAAATATGTGTCCACAAGACTTTTGACTAATGGATGTTGTCGCCTAGAGTTTTTGCTTCAAAATGATCTGAAAATCATCCTGCCTAATCATTTACACAAAACAATACATTGATTTAAATTTTGTAAGACACTTTTTGTTTGAAAAGGCAATATGCGGGGGGGGGGGGGGGGGGGGATGGGGGGATGGGTGGCGTGAATGATTGTAAGGATCATGAATAATGCCCTGATTCACACCTGAGAAGACAATGACCCGCATAATGAGCCACAAAATGAGCTGCATAATGAGCCTCACACAGGTGTGTCACTGGGTACCAAAGAATGCGAGGACAAAAAAAAATATATATATATATATATATATATATTCTTGTGGTACCCAGTGGAAAAAGACACATTTTTTCAAGATGTTTCAAAATCTAAATTTTAACCAATTCTGTAGAATGAATATATATATATATATATATATATATATATATATATATATATATATATATATATATACACACACTCACCGGCCACTTTATTAGGTACCCCATGCTAGTAACGGGTTGGACCCCCTTTTGCCTTCAGAACTGCCTCAATTCTTCGTGGCATAGATTCAACAAGGTGCTGGAAGCATTCCTCAGGGAGTTTGGTCCATATTGACATGATGGCATCACACAGTTGCCGCAGATTTGTCGGCTGCACATCCATGATGCGAATCTCCCGTTCCACCACATCCCAAAGATGCTCTATTGGGTTGAGATCTGGTGACTGTGGAGGCCATTTTAGTACAGTGAACTCATTGTCATGTTCAAGAAACCAATTTGAAATGATTAGAGCTTTGTGACATGGTGGAAGTAGCCATCAGAGGATGGGTACATGGTGGCCATAAAGGGATGGACATGGTCAGAAACAATGCTCAGGTAGGCCGTGGCATTTAAACGATGCCCAATTGGCACTAAGGGGCCTAAAGTGTGCCAGGAAAACATCCCCCACACCATTACACCACCACCACCAGCCTGCACAGTGGTAACAAGGCATGATGGTTCCATGTTCTCATTCTGTTTACGCCAAATTCTGACTCCAACATCTGAATGTCTCAACAGAAATCGAGACTCATCAGACCAGGCAACATTTTTCCAGTCTTTTCAACTGTTCAATTTTGGTGAGCTCTTGCAAATTGTAGCCTCTTTTTCCTATTTGTAGTGGAGATGAGTGGTACCCGGTGGAGTCTTCTGCTGTTGTAGCCCATCCGCCTCAAGGTTGTGCGTGTTGTGGCTTCACAAATGCTTTGCTGCATACCTCGGTTGTAACGAGTGGTTATTTCAGTCACTGTTGCCCTTCTATCAGCTCGAACCAGTCTGGCCATTCTCCTCTGACCTCTGGCATCAACAAGGCATTTCCGCCCACAGAACTGCCGCTCACTGGATGTTTTTTCTTTTTCGGACCATTCTCTGTGAACCCTAGAGATGTTTGTGCGTGAAAATCCCAGTAGATTAGCAGTTTCTGAAATACTCAGACCAGCCCTTCTGGCACCAACAATCATGCCACGTTCAAAGTCACTCAAATCAACTTTCTTCCCCATACTGATGCTCGGTTTGAACTGCAGGAGATTGTCTTGACCATGTCTACATGCCTAAATGCACTGAGTTGCCGCCATGTGATTGGCTGCTTAGAAATTAAGTGTTAACGAGCAGTTGGACAGGTGTACCTAATAAAGTGGCCGGTGAGTGTATATATATATATATATATATATATATATATATATATATATATATATATATATTCTATAGAATTGGTTCAAAGTTAGAGTTGGAAACGTCTTGAATTTTTTTTTCTTTTTCCACAAATTTAGTATGCATGCAAATTTTATAATATACAAGGTAAACATTTCTAGTAATTGTGTAGTCAATTCTCATACTGTATTTTCAGAAAGTTTTGGAATATGTATCCTCTCCCCAAAATTGTCACTAATAAAACACTAAAATAAAGTTACAATTACAATAACCATTGCAATTTTACTAATATTTCAAGTGTAATCTTTCTTTGTAAAAAGTATATATTTTTTAGGGGTGTAACGGTTCACAAAATTCACGGTTCGGTTCGGTACGGTTCGGTACGTTTCCAATACAGCAAAAAGAAAGAAATGCCAGAGAAATTTCCTTGATTTAATATTTTTAATTATATTTTTATTAAAACTAACATCATAAAGTATCATATTTCTTTACTTTGAGCAATGATGGAGCTATACTTGACTTTTCTTAGGAGCATATAAAACAAAACAGCTCCTTGGACAAAATGAAATGTAATATTGTAGTAGTTATTAACAGGTTTATTTTAGTTCAGATTAACATTTGAGGGCAGCAATTGTATTCATAATGTCAAAATAAAACCGACGTGATGTTACTTGAAAGCATTATAGCCTACTATTCCTGCCAAACGTCCATGGTTACAGTTAGTAGTGTTACTACAGTAAACCCATGGTGAATGTTGCTGATCTGTGGACACTGGATAGTTCATTCATGGCACAATGTTTCTTCCTGGTTTCCACGTCAGCGCTGTTTGATCCGTTAATAACGGAGAAATGTGAATGTTTCTCACTAGATCTCGCAGCGATGTTATTACTTCAGTGGCAAATTCAAATGTTTTCTTTACTGGATTTGGCTGTGCAGTAACAGTGCTGATGATTAAGATCGGCTCGTGCTGCATTGGTCCAGACTGATCAACGGTCCGTCAACCACACAATAACCCCCAATTTCCACCAACTGCGGAACGGCTGCGGATCCGCTCCGGAACGCCGGCGGAGTCAATAGGTTTCCATTCAAGTCAATGTGTGTATTTTCACTGACTGCGGAACGGCTGCGTTCCGACTCCGTCCCAGCTCCGGCGACCACAGCCCTCCGGAGAAGATACGCAAAGTTTCTATTTTTGCCGGATGCCGGAGAGCGCCGCAGGAAGTCGATAAACAAAGATAACAGAACAGAACACAGAAACAAAATAAAACATCCGGTAATTTTCAAAATAAAAATATACTTTTTCCTTTTCCAACAAGAACAATAGTTAACTTTATTTACACAGCCTACTACTTTCCCAATTCATTCAAAAAGGAACCCAAAATAAACATTTAGCATTTTATAAGTTGATTATATAATTATAAATATTGTACTAGAATCACAATAATCTCCACAAAAAAAGGAGATCAGCAGGTCAGCACAGAGTTGTTTCCCCTGTACTCCTCTGGATGGAAACAAACTGTTGCTGGTTTTGTGGTTCTGTTTATAGAAACTAAATCCTGTTATATCGCGCGATCAAACGTAAATTCGCGAGATATCGTGTGTCCTCGTGACTTCAGCTGTCAGTCATGGCCGCAGCCGTTCTGCAACAAATCCGGATCTGGTAGGTATTGAAGGACGTTGGAGCACGGATCCGACACGCAGCGGAGCCGATCCGCAGCCGTTCTGCAGTTTGTGGAAATCCGGGGTAACGAGTAGCTCAGTTTCGTTCCGCTTACATTTGCCATTTGATGTTGGGCAATGTTGTGGTCACGCCAGCGTCTCTTACCCTGGATTTCCACCAACTGCAGAATGGCTGCGGATTGGCTCCGTGCTTGCGTTTCGCGTGAAAAATAGGCGTCGGTTCTATTTCTAGCATGCACGCGTTTTCAGCGCGGCTCGAGCCGTATCACGCAGGCAGTCTGCAAGCTCTAACCTGTTAACATGGGAGCCGAAATAAAAACGGACACGCCACGCAGCCAGTGTGTTCCAGTATGAGCGTGCTTGCCACGCGCGACGCGCCTACATTTGAAATAACGAAATTTTGGTTGGCAAGAAAAATGGTCCAACGAACCGTTCGGTTCAAAAATGCGTACCGAAAACCGAACCGAACGCCTCGTACCGAACGGTTCAATACGAATACGTGTATCGTTACACCCCTAATATTTTATAATACATATTTCAAAGGTAAGGATTCATTAGTTTGAATATTGGAACAAACACTATAATAACATCTTAGTTGATAATTCAATATACCTACTTTATTTTTGACAAAAAGTCCCATACTATATATTTAACATATGAGCAGAAATTGGCGAACAAAAGCTTATTTGATGTGGCAGTAGTTTTTTTTTACAGTAAAAACTTTATAATCTATCCAAAAACTAATCAACGAAATCTTGTCTAAACATTAATATTTAGTCTGTAACATTTCGTGTGTATGATTAGCTTAAAAATGTTAATTTGCAGTTTGTTGCTTATACGAAGACATTTTATTTCAACATATTTCAGTCTGTTTTTACTCATCTCAGTAGGCTATAGCAATATAGTTTGGTCAAAGCTTGGTCGAGTGTGAATGAACGGCACAGACGCGCGCACTGTACAGCTGTAGTAAACAGCAGCGCGCGCATGTGCCGTTCGTTCGTTCATTCATTCATACACAGACATGCGATTCATATTTAAACAGTCTTTTGCGGTTTACAGACACTATTCCATATCGCGATTAGAACAAAGCACTTAAGGATAAATAACTTACTTAAAAGTGAGCTTGATCCGTTGCTCCTCGAAATGAAACTACCAGCACTTCTGAGGTAAGTTTTTCCAGGATTATTAGTATTATTCCTCACAGCTTAGCAAGAC